GGGGGACGGAGTAACGCGCCCCCGTACCTCTCCTCTCCCTCCCTCCGTCACTCGTCCCGTCGTGTACGACGACGAGAGTCTCGCCTACTTCCTTCCTTCTCCGTCTTTCGTATTTACTTGTGTAATTGAGCGTGCGTGCGGTGTGTGTGTGTGTGTGTGTGTGTGTGTGTGTGTGTTTTGCGCGCGCGCGCGCGTTCTGTCTTTTTTCCTTCGTGGTGTTTCTCTGTTTCTTCGAACGACGGTACACCTTTATAGCGCACCTACGCCTCTTCTTCTAGCGATATTACTTCACGCGAGATACCACGCGAATGCTTCGTAGACGCCATACCGCCGTCGTGCACCCTGGGTGACTCGTGTAGATGGCCGTATACACCTCAGAAATTTGCGTAAAAATACGATTAATTTGTAAATTTTGATTCTTAATGATACCTTGCACAAGTACACTTGCGGCAGATATACGCGTTTCGTGCTTATCGTGACAATATATTAAGAGAGTAATATTTAGAAATGAAACTAATCTTCATTCAATGCGACTAGCTACTTGGTTTTTCTTTTAATAAAAGTATTTGTTTTTTCAAACCTTAAAAAAAAATTCCTTGAGGATTGCAAGAAGTCAATTTGTTAAAAATTTCAGATAAAATGAAAATATTTTTAAATGTAACTTACAAATAAATATATGTTTATCATGCCGTCCTTAATATTTTTCATTCATAAAAATTTATAAATCATAAAATAAAATTAAGAATCGCTCGAGTTTCAATAATTAAATTTGAAAGAAACTATATAAGGATACTTATATAGTTACTCTGAAAAATATTTCATATTACATAAAATTTTCAAACTTTGTTTTCAAAAGCTACAAATAAAAAATTACATAATGCATAATTACGAAATTCAACTTTTATGCAACTATTAAATATTCGTTTTAAACAAAATTGTTGATGTCATTGTCTTCAACACTGAATATTGCATTAATCGTAAATCAGTGTGCTTTGATGTATAGAATGGACTGACCTATGCATTCTATGTTATCATTAACAATTCGGCAAATTCTCGATTATAATCTAAAAATAAAATACTAAAAAAAGCAACTTTAAAATATGTTCTTTGATTTTCAATAAAATTCCTTGAGAATTCCTTAAGATTTCTTAAGGCATAAACAAATTTTTTTGAAGGTTTTCCAAATTTTTTTCCAGGTTTTCCAAGTTTTTCCGGATAGTAGATACTGAATAAAGATATTTCTAATAAGCGTTGTTTAAATTTCAAAGACAGAGACAATCATTTAAATAATTTGTTATTACGATTAATTATATCATCTTCGTTTTGCGACTGTCTGCAAAAAATAATTCAATTTGCTTATCGCGATCAAACGAAGTAATCGATAATTAGCAAATATCGAAATTCAAATGTCCTTCCAAAATCGAGTTATCTTATTCGTAAATTGCGCGACTTTGATTTAACTTGCCAATGATACCACTACGTCTTTCGTTTCGAATTTGAATACATTACTCACAATGAATTTCATTCCTGTGAAGTGCATAGTTCACAGTCGAAGTTTAACACTGATAAGAGTGACATCGAGAATTTCTCAAATCACGAGTATTCCCCAGAAACTGCGGCAGTTAGTCAAACATATAAGTATATTGTAACATTATATTGTCAGTTATTGCTGATAATTTGATTATATATCACGAACCAATGAATTGTAAAAATATATCGTCCAACTAATTAATATAATTAATATATGTTATATTATATTGATATAATTATATTAATATTAATATATTATATATATATATATATATATATATATATATATATATTATATATTATAATATAATTGATATAATTATAAGCAATTATATTTATAATAATAAAAATTCCCATTTGAAAAAATATAATGTTAAAAACAGCAACGGATTCTCTAATAAAGAAATAATCGTGCGATTAATATTTCAGACGGTATCGAATCAAGATGGCGGACAGTGAAATAGCACAATTCTTCGCAGATCGTAAAATCCTTATTACGGGCGGTTTAGGTTGCCTGGGGAAACTTTTGATCGAAAAATTATTACGGTAAGCATAAAGTTTATCGAACTATTAAGTGACGAAAGTTTCTGAAAGACTTTCATTAAAAGAGCATTAAGTTTTCGTTGTTTTACGTAAAATATCAGATGTTGTCCAAATATTGCGACGCTGTACATACTCGTGAGAAACAAAGATGGAAAGAATCCTCGCGAACGCGTTCAACAGCTTGCCGAAATGCCCGTAAGACTTTTTATCATTTTATTGTTTATACTGGTGAAAATATTCTACAAGAAAATAAAAGCGATCTGTCTTAAAAATGAGAAAACGTCTCTCTGTTATTGCTGAAAATCACTCTTATCTTTATTATTCATATATGTAATAATAAAATATTATTAATTATAATCGTTATTACATTCGTTATTTGTATATATATTGTTAAAAAGAGATTGTCATATTTTCTAGTTATATGAAAAACTGAGGGAAAAGCAACCCGATTTCCTACAGAAATTAACAGTGATCGAGAGCGATTTAGATAAAACAAATTTAGGCTTGTCCCAGCAAGATCGAGACAAATTGCTCGATACGAATATTATTTTTCACGGTGCGGCGGTTGTACGATCTAATCAAAGACTTCGCACTATGGTGAACGTCAATGTGCAGGCTACGAAGCAAATGTTGCTGCTCGCGAAAGAGATGCCGGATCTTAAGGTAACGATGTCGTAACGATGCTACTGCGAAAAAAATCGGGATATTAAAGGATTGTCGCGATAAGTCGCAAAATGACACGACTCTTTCAGGCTTTCGTTCACCTGTCAATCGTCTTCGCTCATTCGCCAATCAGATCCATCGAGGAGAAATATTATCCCCCGCCGATGGAGACTGATGAAATATTGTCGCTGGTGAATATCTTAAATGATAAAAAATTGGATGCTATCACTCCGGCGTGAGTATAATAATAATATTACGTATAATATAATAATATAATGTAAAATAATATTATAAAATTGAGAATATTATGATAATATATTATATTACCATAATATTCTTATAATTATATATATTATAATATTATCATACATTATACAATATTATTTTTATATTAACAATAAGATAAAAATATTTATCACAGTTACTAATAGAGTTTGTTAAAGTTTAATTTTAATCTAAAAAATTTAAATCAACATAAAATTTTCAAAAGATTTCAAATTAAGTTTGAACGCAGGTGTAAAATTTTAAAATTTGTCATCTCGCTTCTTACTCAGATTGAGGAGAGACACACGAGAGATTTTTTTCACGTTGCTCGTATGAGAAAATATTTTTCACGTCGTCAAACATTGACTCGCACTCGTGACAATCGAATTCTGTAAACAAATATTGCTTTTTCGAAGGAAACGCGAGACGGGGCGGGGGGGGGGGAGGAGGGAGGGTATCTTTTCAACATCATTTTACATCTCTTCACGAAATTTTCAACTCCGGCGCAGATTGATCAGTGGCTGGCCCAATACGTTTGCGTTTACGAAAGCAATCGCGGAAGACACGGTGCTGCGATACGGATGCAAAGGGATGCCGGTGTGCATTGTGCGACCATCTATCGTGACTTCCACCTGGAACGAGCCGATCATGGGTTGGACCGACAGCGTGTATGGGCCCATTGGCCTCCTGGTCGGCTCGAGCCTTGGCTTATTGCGCACGATACATTGCCACACCGCAAAAAACTCGACTTCGTGCCGGCCGATTACGTGACGTCGTGCTTGATCGCCGCCGCCTGGCACACCAACGTAAGGTGAGCTCATTAATCTACTTTATTAATGAGTGCGATTTTTTTTCATCAAGTCGGCCGCACAGCGCGAACTAGCAACCGATGTTAACCGATGATCGCATAAGTAGAAAGGATTTAGGTAATTTCATATCTAAATAATCTCTATCTGCGACGCGGAAACATCAATAATATAAAAGATATATTACAGCCAAGTTTGTAAATTGAAATTTTCTTTTTCAAAAAAAATTTGCCATATCAGAAATTAATTGTTAAACAAATTTCCTTCTCTCTTAATGATGATCGATTTTACTATTATCGTACAAAATTTTCTTTAATCAAAATACGAAATTTAAAGATCTTCGGATCTTCCGCGGAACAAAAGTCTGGCATCTCTTCATCGAGGATCGGAATTTAAATGGCGGTTTCAAATTTGTCGGTAGAAACGTCAAAAAAGTTTTCAAAGTGAACGTGGAGACGGGCATTGTGCCAGATGTGGAACGGATACCGGTGTATAATTACGTGTCGTCATGCCAGAAACCAATAACCTGGGACACATTCCGAAAGCACGTACGTGCTCATGGATCAAAGATACCGGGTGTGAGGGATATACGGCTGCAGTGCATGTTTTGGAACAGTAGACTGTGGATGCACAAGATCCTCATGTGCCTGTTCCACTTGTTGCCCGCGGTCATAGTGGACGGGGTGGCCGTTCTGACTGGTCGAGATCCAAGGTCAGGTATTTTTCTTTCCTTGTCTTTTTTTTTGTTTCAAATATATCTTACGGATCGTGATACATCGTCAAAATACTACGTCGAGATCGCTCGGGCGACGACGATTTGAGGAGACCGAGTGATTCTGTAAAAAGTAGACACGACGCGAGATATCTCTTCGTAAAGTCTATCTTAAACCTCCCTCGGAGATTTTGTGATCTTTTTGCTTCAGATGGTACAAGACCTACAATCTGATACACGCTCATCTCTCGGCAACGTCCTATTTCATGACGCAGCAATGGTACTTCAGGAATGACGCGGTAGTCAAACTTTGGGAGCAACTGAGCGCGGTGGATCGCGAGATGTTCGAGTTCGACATGAGCAACTTCAACTGGAGCGAATACATAAAACGAATGGTTCACGGTATTCGCGACTTTATCGATAAAACCCCGTGGGATGCTGTGGAAAAAGGGTTGGCCGAATATATTGAACTCTGAACTTTATATGCAGATCAAAAGTCAATCTACATAACCAATCTATATAACCGAAAAGCTACCTAATATTTAAATAGTTAATCCTTTCATTCTCAAATTATTTGAAACTATAAAAGAATACTTTATATTCTTTATAATATCCTATTCGCTTAGAAGCCTTTAAATGCATATAATAAAATATGTATAGAATCATTTGTACAAAATTCTAAAATAACTAAAATAATATATGTAAAGGTATATGAAAATAAGGTGTAAATGACAGTAATATTTCATTACACAATTTTAAATGCAATCGTATGGCTATGATGAGAATAAAAAGATATATATTTCAAATCTATATTTCCTTGTTAAAGAAAATAAAACATATAAATAAAATGTTATCAATTAAATTAAACATTAAGAGAAAAAGAACATAAAATCTTGGTCACACATTCATTTCTTTAACTTGCTATAAAAACTCGTTTTTTTTTTATTCATAAAAATATAAACTACACAAGTGGATTTCAATTATATATAATTGAAACGTATAATTGACATAACGAAAATAAAATGGCATGCAAAAAGAAATGGATACATGTCATAAATCTTTCTGTTAGTATGAAAATAAAAGCTGGAAAATATATATATATATATATATATATATATATATATGTAACGCGAGTGATATATAAATGTATATACGCGAGAAAATACGACGATGCACAATGAATCTAACCGTAAGCGATCGCCGGCCAGTGAAAGTAGAGAAATTCGGAAGGAACGGGAAATGAACGTTACGTGTACGGAGGGAGCAACGGCGGTGATTTATCGGCGATAGATTTCGCCGGTGATCCCGAACGAGTGTGCCATAATGCGACGAGTATCGCATACCTGATGATACTCGAGCATATGTGCCGCTCGTAAAGCACGCTGGTAACAATGCCGGGCCTCCTCGGTCTGATTGTCATTGTTCCAGAGTGCTGGAGAACGTGCGGAACGTCAATGACCACGGAGCACTTCGGCAGGGAGGGGAGGGGGGGGGAGGGCGGTAGATCTTCAGGAATGTATAATCATCGCTTATGTAATACAGCCTTCATTTCAATCACTCGAGGTACAATGTGCTGCGATCAAACCGCGATAATCTGACTTAAAAAGTTGAATAGTGTCAACGAAAAGTTTCTAACGGACAGAATTATTTCTCAATAATACGGACTAAAAATTATATTAAAACGTGACGTATACACAAAGTATTTCAAGTAAGTCGAGATTCATTATTTAGGGGATGAATAAGAATCCAAAAACAAAAAGGAAAATTGATATATGAACATATGGTTCGAAAATGTGTTGTTTTCATTTCGAGTTATCACTATTTTTATGTTGAAATTTAAAATTTGCTTTGCTTTCGAATTGTTTTGTCAAAATTGAAAAAAGAGATGATGATCTCTTTTTTACTTTTTTATTACGAGAATGATCTTGATCGAGGTACAATCTGCTTAGCATTTTTTTGAGTCAAAACCAGTCAAGACCGCAGACAATTCGCTAACGTGATACAATTCTTGAATAATATTAAAGGTGTCAATTTTTATTTGATTTTAATTATCGTATAAAATTCATAAAAACCATTTCTTTTTTTCAATTCTGACAAAAAAAATTCGAAAGCACAATTTCAAATTTCAACACAAAAACGACGATAATTCGAAATCAATGTATTTTCGCACTATTCATCATATCAACTTTTTTTCTTGTTTTTAGGTCTCCATTCATCTCCCTGATGATCGACTTCGATTTACGGAACACCCTTTATACATAAGGACTAAATCGCGAAAGAAATGATTATTAATCCCGACATTGTCGTTGTACGTTAATTTATTTCATTTCTAAATGGTTGCCTGCAACCGCGTCGATTATCTCAAATAAAAACTTTACTCTCACAAATCTCAATAATTATTTCAATAAAATAAAGAATTCGTCTTCTCGCTCACCCGAATATTCCAGGCCACTGTGCCTCGTCCTATTAATTACCAGTTTTACCGCTGCGATCGGAATCGACGATTCCGTAGCTCGCGGCGCATTATTCCGCTCGGTAGCCGCATCTCGTGCGTTCGTTTCAGAACGAGTGGTGCACCCGTTAAAACGTTGTGTACACTGTACAGGCAACGTCTACCTACGCGCAGCAAGTTCACTCGACCATCTATCTACGTATCTACCTATCTATCTATCTATCTATCTATCTATCTACCTACCTACCTACCTACCTACTCACCTACTCACGCAAATCCATTTGCGCGACCTGTCCCGTTTCCGCGGCCGTTTTGCGTCCCGCTGCTCCGAGGCCAGTTTCTCGCAGGCCGCAATCATTAAGGCCCCAATTTCGCGAAACTGCAAAACTGTTGTACGACCACGGTGAGCTAAATTCCCGATTCGCTACGTAGCGAGGAAGGAGCGCGTTACGCCGATTCCGCCGTTTCCACCGTCGCGGATAAGCCGAGGAGAGGAATGATTTTGCGAATTGCGACGAAGTTAAATCACTTCGAATCTCCACCGACAACGACAGATACAGATCGACGATGTCAAATGAATCGAATGAGAGATAGGGGGGAAAAAAAGAGGAGACTTCCTGGCGAGAGAAACGCAACCGGCGAAACGGATCGTGTCGGATATTAATCAGTGCGAAGAATAGATTCTCATTGGGTAAACGTTGTTTCTAGAACAAAAAAATTGCCTGGGTACCGAGAGTGCCGAGAGAGAGAGAGAGAGAGATACGTAACATATGAGAACTATACACGTAATACGAAATTAACAGATTCAGACACGTAATATTTTCGAATTGAGGAGTTTACGCGCCCGAACGTTGCGAGCTCCGAGCTGCGTATTACAAAAATTATGTAAATGATAAGCAGCGCGAACAAAGCGCTCGTTAATATGATAATAATATTCCTTTTCTTATAGCACGCGCTAATAATGCGCCGCTGCGAAACGCGTTGTGAAAAGTTGTCGACTCGGTTATTAAAGGAAGGGAAAAAAGTAACGGAAATACAATAGGCGGCGGTTGTGTAACGCTTAACGTGTGTATTGCGACGGACGACGTGGACGACGCGGAATATCCACGTGGTTAACACGGCGGACAACGTGGGCGGTGTTATTTTTATATTCGATCTTGCAAAATCGCCGTCACGGTAAGACGGCAGGTAAAACATACGGGAACATACTCATTAGTGCCGTTAAACGTTACGAACAGGTAGCGATAAGGAGGGTAATGGATGGAGTATAATTTCGCGGAGTAATTTTCAAATCTTTTTAATTTTTTTTTTTAATAAAATTTCAGTTTTTTGCCTAACAACGGTTAACGATCGAACCGTTGGCGAGCATCGAGAGAGGGAATACCACGCGATATTGCGCGCCAAGAGAGATACTCTTTGGTTGGGAAACGAGTTCGATGCGCGAGAGCAAACAAGCGGTAATAACACACGAACAATCCTCTCCTCGACAATCTCTCTCCCTCGTTCGGGACGAATCGAATAGAGAAGAATAGGGAAGAAAAAGAAGACAAAAAAGTGGAACGAAAACAGAAAAAAAGAGTCGGCCGGTGCTTGAGCCTCCCTTGACAGTACCGCCGCCGTTTTGACAGAGCCTGACGAATTCTGACGCGAGGAAAGAAAGGATGGCCCGAAGGAGGGGGGGGGGGAGGGGGTTGTAAAACTGCGAGCGGACAATTGAAATAATAAACTGACGCGCACTCAACGCGCATGTCCGAGCTGCAATTGCTGCGAACTGCGGTAGATCGTATCGTTACCCTTTTTTTCTTTTTTCGCAAGATAGTCTTCAGTAGATGTCATTCAGTTGATTATTATTTTAGATAGTTGTCCACATTTATATAAGGCGATTGGTTCCGCTTTAATTCCAACCAAATTCAGGATTTAAAGAGAAAGGTTTAGAGAGGTTTCGTTTGTTGCAAGGTTTTTGAAATTTAACAGAAAATTAAAAAACTTGAAAGTTACTTGAAACTTGTACTATTGGGGGGTTAATTTTACGGAATTTTCAGAGAGGGAATGACAAAAAACGAGATGACAATATTCGCCCGCCTGGAAATGCGATCGCAAGGGGG